TATAAATATTTTTTTTTACACATTGGTCTGGTGAGTTTTATTTTGAAAAACCACAATTAAGTGTTTTACCTGTGTTTGTCTCAACCATTTTTTTTTTTCATCCAAACCAGCAAGCTAATCCTTACAAAATTAATCCAACAATTTTCAGTCAGGTCATCAGTTGTTTTTGTTTGTTTGTTTTTTTGTGCTGAGACATTTTGCCTTCCATCCAGAAGGCTTCATCAGTCTGAGGAAACACACAAGACAAAACTGCTTTTCCCCCGACAGCTTACTCCAAAATGGGGAAAAAAACAGTTATGTTGGTGCTAAGATGGTCTCTGGGGGACACCCTCTCCTACAGCGCCCGCTCTCTCCCTTGTCGATAGTCATGTCAAACTGGTTCAAAACACCAAAGTCCATGCTCAATAAACCAGTTATAAAATCCAACAATTTTCAGTCAGGTCATCTGGACGTTTTTTTTTTTTGTGCTGAGACATTTCGCCTTCCATCCAGAAGGCTTCATCTGACAAAATTAGTTAAAATAAATAAACAACAAGAACAAAAATGGTCTTTTTCCCCATTTTTCATTGGGAAAGTTCTTGTGTGAAACAGGTCCATGAAGCAGTAATGGTTGGGGACCGCAAAAGTGATTTTAATGAAACTACCAAAGTTATCATCATGTGCACATCTACATGTGATTAATAACTTTTGGAGCTAACACTGTTCAAGATGGCATATTGTTCAAGATCTCAGTTCAAAACATTGCCATGCAGGACGGCAGGTGATACTTTTCTTCAAGGAATGCTATTTTTTAATTGAGGTTGATTCAACCAGAGCTTCTATCTGATCAAAAAACATGCTTGCTTTTATTTCTTTCATGTTCTAACAACTGTCAATAAGTTGGCAGACATAAAAATTAGGTTTTCCTTTCTGTACTCAAAGCTACAGCTCTCAGTGAATTAACATAGTACAGAAAATGTCCTTCAGGTGGCTCTTTGTTGAGGTTTAAAGGTGCATTAATATGTCTGGAAAGTGAGGAGAAGAAAAGCACCAGACGTGTGCTGTACAGGCATGTGGTGGTTTATTGCTGTTGTTTCAAAGCAAGATGCAGTTGTTCAAGAAAAGCTGTTCTTTGAAAAATAATTTGTGCTTTTTTTCCCTTTAAGGTACTTCCGCTTATATATATATATATATATGTATATATATGTATATATATATATTTAT